CCACTAGCTTCAAACGTGTGTAGCAGAATTCGAGACGTGGTCAGCTGCCCAGATCTACTGCTCTGCTCCCCTTCCAGCCACTACAAGACTGAGACCACTCTGAGCTGACAGACAGGACTTGTGTCACCAGGATGAAAGGTAGAATCTGGTATTATTTAAACATGAGCAGCAGTAAAACCCACCCAGGGCACCTGTCCTGAGTAAACCATTGGAGATTGCTCATGTGTGAATAAATGCAGTGGCCATTTAATTATTTCAGTTTCTGATGATCCTAGAGTTGTTTACAGAAAAATGAAAGACCATTTTCCTTAGTGACATATTACAGCAGATATATGTAAAAAAGCAACTTGCACTTGGGAGTTAAAGATAAATTGACATGTTCTTAAATACATAAGGTTCTTTTTTTTTTTCTTGTTCTCTAATGAGTTCATAATTTAACTGGAGAAACTGCTAGATTCCCTCCAAATGCTAGTGAAAGTCTCAAAGGGGAACAAGCTGCTTATGCAAGTGTTCTTGTAAAACAAAGAGTATTCAAGTATGGTAAATAAACACTAGAAATAAGACTGGTGTTTAGTTGTCTCCTTAAAAGCTCGAAGCTTACATATCTTCATATTGATGCTCTAGTTCTGAGCTGAACATTAATGAAAACAGTTTTTATTATAAATAAAACTAAAGCACTTCTATCTATTACCACTTCCCTAGGGCAAAGTTCTGCTTTTGGATAAATTGCAGAGGGATATTATTACAGTGTTGTCGAGCGTACGCCAGAGCAACGTACAGATTTAATCCAATTAATCCATCTGGAGAACGGCTCCATAGAGTAAGCCAGAGGACGAGAGCTAGTCCAGCTCGACGTGCCCGCCCGCTCAGGAGGGCAGGTCTGCTCTTGTGCGGAGGAAGGGCCCTCCGTACCCCAAATCCAGCCCAGCAGGGCTGAGAGATTCCAGGTCCCTGACTAAAAAGACAAAATAAGCCTAAGTAGCAAATATGCTTTCTTTCAGGGTCATTTATTCAGATCCCCAGAAGGATTTAAGTTTAGAAGAGATACTGGGAGAGCAAGAAACTGTTAAAACAAAGGATGCTTTTCACTTGTGTACTGAGAGTTAGCGGTGTCTGTTGCTGCTGGAATTGCAACCGTAGCCAAGGCAGGGTCAGAAAACCCTGGAGCTTAAATATAGAAGCTTCAAGGCAAGAAGAGTATAAAAATAAATTCCAAAGGGCTTAATAACATTGTACAGAGGCTGGATATTCTGGTGTCAGAAGGAAACTGGTGGCTCTTAGATCAAAACCTAATCACCCAAAAGCAATAAGACCTTTTGTTTTAGCCAGCTAGTCATTCTGTCACCCACCAGGGCAATTTTTTTTTACTAGCATCCCGAATTACAGTTAATTTACAGTGTATAAATGTACACATCATGGACAATCTAACAGTTAAAGCAAAAATACTTTGGAATGAGCATGGTTAAACCTTTAGCAGCCTGATCCAAAATCTGCTAGCAACCATTTGCCTGACTTCAAAGGAATTATTATCAGCATTTTAGTGAACTTTTCCTACCAAAAAAAAAAAAAAAGACACAAAACAAAACACATTAAAAAAGGGAGCTGTGCCTCACGGCTTACTGCCAGGATTGTCCTTTACGTGGAATTGAAGTCAGGCAGAGCCCGCAGCCAATCCAGGCAGCGAAGGGAGAGAAACCTTCCTGAGGTTACTGCACAGGACACCCTCTGATTCCATGCAGCAGAGCCAGACCAGGGGAAAAATGTCTGCTCTTTCTTAGCTTCCCATCCCAGAAGACTTTATTTATGCATTAGTCGACCTTTCTAGCCATTAGGACCATCTTGCTTCAGCAGTTAATTAACACAAGTGCCATAATTTAATACAGTTAATGCTACTTGATGCCCTTTAATGCACCTTCCATTAGTGATATTATTGTAGTATTACCCTGTAAATTAAAATGAGATCAAGACTGAGAGAGGCTCTCTTTAATTAAGGTATTGGCACACTACATCGTCCATTATTCACTAGAAAAAAATCACCCTGATTTAGTGAAGCAGACCATCAGTAAGTCAGAATTAGTTCATGTGGATTATTAGGTTTCTTGAATAATGTGAGCACAATGGGGTTGCTGAAATTGCTAACAGCCACGTTTCCTTCTTTTCATCATCTTAATAAATACACAATGGAAATGGCAAATTGAAGATGAATAAACAGGTGGTAATAGAGGAGGTAAGGTGTTCATCGAGAGTACACAGGTTTTCATCTCTAATGCCACATACATCAGGCTTATTTCACACCAAAATGCAAAGCAATGACAAAACAAACCCTGTATTAAGTGAGCAAATCTCCTACCTATAATTCACTGAAGTATTAACCACCCCAGCATCTTGTATATTAAATACGGCAGCTTCAAGATAGATGCTTTTCACTGTCATTGATGCTTAAAATACAGCGTGAAACAAATTCCGCTTTATGCTGCCTTTAGAAATATGCTATTATGAGCTTTGGTGATTTTTAACTATATTCAACCTTCAGGTTAATGTTTTTTCAGTAAAAAGATTAGCTATAAAACATGTCAGCTAGCATCAGTCATCCACCACGTGTCAAGCTCATTGGTAACTTCCCTTTGTATCCTGTCCTCAAGGAATAGTCCAATCTAGCTTTACTAAATGTTTATAAATATCTAGGTCTCAAAGCCCACAATATGAAACATTGTAGCAAAGAAAAAAAAACCAGAAGAACTAAAATAAAAATCAAACTGCACCCAAACCCAGAACTGCACATCCTAAACTAACATGCAGTGACTGGAAAGTGGAAAGTTCAGCTGGATCAGAAACAAACCTCACCCCGTAACCCATTGTGCCTCTCTGAGCGCACGACCACGATGCTCCTGTGGAGACTCTTTAGGGGTTCCTGTGTGGAGGTCTCCCACCAGGTTCCTGGTAGGAAATCAAAAATACCTCAAAGCAGGTGACTGGCCTCCTGCAAGTCATGTTTGGTGCGAGTAAATAACCAGGGGTGGTGTACTGCAGCCCCACAGCTGCTGAGCAGTGAGCAAGCCGGTAAAGTGTTTAACAAGGAGGGCTCACCACATATCGGAGGAAAGGCCACCAAATCCCTAAAGAGCTTTTCTTCTCATTAGCATAAGAGTGATAAGAATTCACATGACTCTATTCTAGTGAGATACTATTACACATCAGATACTTCTTTTAAAGCACATGTCCAATTACTGCAGCGTTTAGACAACACATCATCGAGTCACGCTTCATTTCGATAGATAATTTTTCACAAGATTGCCATGCCCCAAATGTGCTTGCAAGGCTTCTGTTTCTAATTTGCATGCAATGCACTCTTTTTTAATCCTTCGCATGCTTTCTTTGATAAAGTACTGATAGCCTAATTGAAGTCAGACTAAGCTCCAGATAGGTTTTCATATGGGGAGCAGCTTTTCTTTAAAGCCTAAGGACCTTCAAATCCTGAGCTTTGATACAATGCCTCTGTAGAGCTAACCTATGTGGAGCCCAATGGAGAAATGATGCAAATTAAATAGAACATATGTGTTATTTTTTTATATACTAAGGCTAATTTTACCAAGCTATTTCAAGCAGTATCTTAAACTGTCCATGATCCACTTAGCCCTCCCAAGAGACTTCTGAAAAATAAATTACAACGTAACTACAGATAGTTGCAATAAGAATTGGTAAACCACCACTGTTTTTCTTCTACTTTCCTGTGTTCACCTAGTGATTCTGTGCGTACTTGAATGTATTTGGTGTGGACACAGAAGACTGTAACTGCATGCTAAATCTGCGGGCCTCAGAATTTTGATGTCATATAAGAATGTACCAGTACTGCAAAAGTGCTTATGCCTTCAAATCTGTGTGTGGCATCAATTCTTCCTTTAGATAAAGTTAGTAGAATATTTTTCAGTAGATTACACCACAGCAATTTGATTCTATTTTGATGTTATGTATCAATTTTTTGCAATATGGAAATGCTTATGAACATGAAAGGCTTATATAGTCACCAATGTTTTATATAATCACCATCTCTTTTTTAACATCAGTCCTCTGTCTCCAAAAATGCCCTGGCCTTCTGAGATACACTAGCTGCTTTTCTGTTCGTTTTGATACTTAGCTTCTCTTAAAAAGAAAAAAAAAGTTTTCTAAAAAGGAAGATTTGAACTCCCTCTAGAACAGAGGGGAGAAGTAAAAGGTACATTAGAGAGCTGAGTGAATTGCTAATAGAGAAGGTCGCATTTATTTCTTCTGAGCAAATTGGCTTCCAAGTCACATGTAAAAGGTATCACCCTCCTGCTTGAGGTCATCAATCAATTGCTAGTCTGAGCTGGGAAGAAAATTTCCCGATAGGAATGTCATTGCACAGTTATTATTTTGGGAACTACAGCACCTGATACCAGCCACTGCTTGCCCCAGAGGGACTATTTGTCTTGAACCCAGCTGCGTAATCATCTATGTTATATTCAAATCAGTCTCTCTGAAACACTGTTGGTTTTTTTCCAATTTACTTCAGCTTCACTGCATTTTAGAGCTAATTAAAATACAAGGACTCTAATCTCTGCTGCTTTCCTTGTTCACCAGCAGTTCATAGCCGGACATGGTGGGAAGGGCCCGTGCAAGGGCTGCTGTATCAATCACAGCTTACATTAAAGACCTGAAAACGTACAGTGATAAAACAGAAGCTCTCTTTTTAGTCAGCTTCCATCAGATAAGACTCCAACTATAAAAGCAGAAAGGGTGAATTCCTGAGCCAATGTAATAAACTGCTAATACAATCCTGCCTGTGAGACCTAGGGCTCAATATCCCAGACTAGCAACAGCAAACACCTGGGACTTGGTGCTGCTGAGTCAGAAACTTTAGTAGGACCAGAAAGAGACTTCAGCTGAGCCAAATTCCAACAGATCTCGGCAGAAAATGTCATCATGTTTGGGGAGATCAACAGTTCTGAATAATCTCTAAAAACAAACACACATGCCTTTTTCTAAAGGTATATATTCTCTTACCTTCCGAATACTCTTATGTCTGAAATAGCATAAAAGTAGCGTGCCAGGTGTTGCTCATCTACATATATTTCTCCTGTTGCTGGCCTAAGCAGTCTTATCCTCAGATCCGTGATGGTAAAGAAATCTCTTAACTTCTTGGTTGTGTCAAGCTGGCCATAAAGAGAAGCCATGTTGTGGAGCCGAGGTCCAGCAAAAAAAGCAAATCTGTCTTTGATTTCAAAGTGGATTATTTTACTATTTGTCATGTACCCAGTAGAGTATTCCTCGGTGCAAATGATTTCTAGGACTGTTTGCTGTGATAAATCCCTCACTGATTTTGGATCCATGTGGAAAGCATCTAAGCAGTCTGTGGCATAGTACTGGTAAGGCTGCCATGTTCGTCCGTAGTCGAGCGATTTCTCCAGGATCATTTGGTCTGGACGGCCAGATTCAAAAGTGATAACTATGTTATCTGTAAGCTCAATGGTTTTGTTCCAGGAGAGTGTAATATTAACATGAAGAGGTTTTGGATAATCCTTCCAAGTGGTGGACTGCCAAAACGTGGAGGGATGTCTTCCTTCAAGATCGAACATGAGTTCCGGAGGATGAGCCAGCTCCTGGGTACTCGCATCACACTCGTTATTGCACATGTAGGGATTCCCCTGGAAAAGAGCAGAGCAGCGTTAGAAGAGGCATGGTATAGGTGACTGTGACACATAAAGATGTTTCTTGTGTAGCACCTGAGAACTGTTGCTTTTTCTCCAGGAGCGAAACCAGGAAACAAAAAACAAATGCTTGTGAGGAATACCTTTATCTTAATGAGATTTATCCTGGCTGGTTTACCTGTTAATGTAAATATACAAACACACACATACACAACATCCTTGCCTTCTGTAATATAGACACTTTTTAGTATGTGTTAGAGAAAGAAGAGTGTTTATTTAGCCTGAATGGCTCAGACCAGCAACCGAGCCATGAAAGACTGTGAATAGTAAGCAAGCTTCTAATAGCTCCAGCTCTTCCTAGAAAGATGCAGCAACTGAACAGAATTTCTTTATAAAACAAGAGCTCCTCTCACAAAAGAAGTAATTATTAGTGTTTTGAGGTCAGCAGAGCAGCCTGTATGTACTCAGTATGAACCAGTACCCAGTACACCTTTGCCTCCTTTCCCCCAGGTGAGAAATTTATCATGCTTAACTGCGTTCCCAGCTTAGCACCGGCTTGCCTTGAAACATTTACACTTGCCACCAAAAGCCATTAGAAAAACTGTGTTCTGCCAGCTCTGGGGCTTGATTCAGACATCTGCCATCTTATCACAGGGTAGTGAAGTACTTCAGGAAAGACTTTTCACGAGGCGCCGGCTCCAATTTATCAGGACAAGATAATCCAGCACTTGATTAGGTGGGAGATGTCAGCGCCTCCAGCTGGAACGCGGCCAAGGTGGCCGGAGCTCCGAGCTGGGGGGGTTGAGTTAGAAACAGCAGAAAAAAACCACCTTGCCAATTGTGTGCAGCTTTTACTGCTGCTTGTCCTGTGTAGCATGCTGCAAGTGAATTACTCTCTTCCTGGCCTTTTGATGCAGCAGCTTGCCCACTACAATCTCATGCTTCTTCACAAAGGCTATTTTGCCTGCTGTCTTGCAGCAGTTGCCAAGATATCAGACCCCATCAGCTGCCCTGAATCACGCCCATCTCATTCCGGCTTTCAGCAGTACATTCGTATTTTGCTACTTGTTGGTTCTGCGTTTGCTCCAGAGAGCAACTGCCGCTCTGCATCCTTCCCTTCGCCTTACACGTGAAGAAGCCACGTCTCTTCCCACTGATCATCAGCACCGCTGGGGAAAAAGCTGCACATGCATATACCTTACGGTGCTTGACGGGGCTGTACATGTAGCTGCTGCTGTCATTAAGGAGAGTTGCCCTCACTTCCCCTGGTATGATAATCAACCTTTGCTTATAATTACAGTTATGCTTCTCTCCATCTCCAAGCCTTGGGGCAATGAAGCAATTCAACGCCAGCCAGCGTGAGAAATAGGTTTCAAAGAGGAGTTTCCACCTTGGCCGCTGCGCTGCTCCTTGCCATAGTCCCCTGAAACACCAGCAAAAGAACTTCTGGACTCTCTTTGACCTTCCCACCGGCAACTTCCTCTCACCCGGGCAGGGAAATGCAATTTTCTTTCTGCCTCTCTCTCTTTTCCATTAATTCAGCTGAGTGCTAAAACTGACAATGATTCACTGGGACTTGAAGTTAAGAATAAAAATTACAAGACAACAAAAAGAGTTATTTGAAAAGCAGCATACTGCTTGTTCCACTGACAGCTTCAAAGCACGCAGCTGTAACTGGAAATACTCTGCGAAATGTGTCTATAATAAGTCCCTGTTACAGCTCTGATTTCAAGCTCATGGTTGCTATTTCTATGCCTTCCTTTTGAATAAAACAGTGAAAAACTGAATATAAGTTTCAAGTAGAATAAACACCTTTTTTTTTAATTATTAGTATTATTTAAGCTCCCTTTCATATAGCAGACACAAACAGCCAAATTTGCTAACTTACTTAGGCCTTTTCCTTAGGGAAAACACACATACTGTGAAATCTGTAAGCTTCCAAACCCTTTGACTATATGGAAACACCAGTTTTGCAGAAAATTCTCAGAGTTGCATAAATCACACCTTTTGGAGGTTTACTAGAAAAATCTAGTCACTTCCATACCTGTCACCACGAAGCTGCCTCTGTACCTCTAATATATGTGCTTCTGTCATCACTTTGGTAAAAGCAGCTTCACTGGGAGGTCATGGCTATCGAAACCCGGCAAATAAATGCTCCCGGGTAGCCAGGCAGGGTCATTAAGCAATGCTGAGGGATGACTTTGGTTTCCTGCTCTGCAAGCAGCCACCGAGTCTGTTGTGATTCTTCGTGTTAAAAACTCAAGCTGCTCTGACCCCCCAGTCCCTGGATGCTGGAGGAGGCATGTTTTATGACTTCCAGCGGGTAACCCAGATTGTGTGGGACATATTGTTCCTTTCTGCATGTAAGAGCTGCCTTCTTGTGCTCCCTTTTTTGTTCACCATTTCCTTTTTAGCAAAAGCTGAGGTGCCGATGTAATCAGAGAATGCTGGGAGACGGGGCTCTAACAAAACACAAGCTGGTGTGAGCACAGCAAGATCGCGAGAGCTGTTAGCAATAAGGTACCTAAAAGAATGGTGCAGTGGAGGCGAAAAATCAGCTTTCTATGGAATGCCAGTCTGTACCTCTGTGGGCACCAAGCTTTTTGGAAAGATGGGGCCATTCCAATTAATGGCAGTGTGTAGCGAGAAACGAGTCAGAGTCACGGTGCTGTCCTGCACCCAAAGCGCTTCCCAATGGTAACGCTGACGTTGCAAACCAACGCTGGAACCTCCGGGTATGGAAATCATGGCAAATGAGAATCCTAATAAAAAGCTTCAGGCATAACCTCCCCAATATTTTGAATTATTCTTTTAATTTTTAGCACACGACTCTCTTTTAAGAGGTAAATGAATTGATGACACTAAAATGACTCTGTGGAGAGTCAGATTTCGAGAGAGGAAATTAGGAGAAAACCCAAGCCAATATAAGCTGATAAAATAAATGTCCTGAATGCTAACATGGCAGGGGAAGAGAAACTACGAGTTTACGTAGGTTCCCCTCTGCCTACTGGCAGTCCTGGATGTAATTTTGAGTGTGATTATTGCTTCAGGGTCTTGGAGTCACATTCCCATTTTCTCTACCAGCAACTTGGCTTTAAACTGCTTCTAGTTCATCTTAAATATAATTTGCATGTTAAGTCATACTTATATCTCCAACACAGTGTAGAAAGGTCTTACCCTACATGAACATCCCTAAGTACACTTTAGTATGAAAACAATTAATCTAACTGGGATTAGTTACATATTTTAATGTCTCAGTCTCTGTGATAATCCTCTTAAAGACCTCTAGCTCAGTAAAATGAACACAACAAGGAGAAACTTTCCCCAATTTGTGAAAACTAAGCTCATTCTGTGTTGGGGACATCTAAAGGCCCAGAGCATTAGCAGCTGTAAGTAATTTTGTGACCAGCAGGCAGCCATAAATAGATCTTCATTTAAGCTTTACAAGCAGCAGCTCTTCAGCTGGACAAGGTGGAAAATATTTATAACTTTTCAAAACTACATTTAAGCCATTAGGAGATTTCTAAATAATTAAACACTAATAAATACTTCTAAACACTTTACTGCCAATTATTGTAAAAGGTAGCTGAGGCTTTCCCAACACTACAACCATCTAAAAGAAGCCAGCTATTTTCCCGCACGGTAATTGGAGATTGATCTCAAATAGCTCCTTGCAGGCAGGCAAATTAAGTTGCTATTTATTTTGGTTTAGGCTTCTCATGAAACTCAAAATATTACCAAAACTACCGGCGTAGTCTAAAAGTTTTGGCTTTAGGAAGAGCCACCTGTTTTGAAGGCACGGAAAGGGCCCGTGGCTGCATCGCACGGTTTGATCACGCTCAGTCCTGGCTGGGAGAAAGCAGAGTTACCTGAGAAGCTACAGCCTAGGGGTGGACTGGTCCTGGTAGACTTTCCCCTCAGTTAGCTGGATTTGGCTTGGTTTAGCACACAGGGATGTCTGCCTGTGCCAGCCAGCCTGAGCTTCTCCAGCAGTGTCTGAGATGCTCCCGAGTGTCCCTGCCTGGGACCAGGTACTGGGCAGGAGCATGTCTTACCAAGTGTGCCAGCAGGAGCAACTCGGTCATGGACAGGACAGTGACCTTAGAGGGAGGCTTTTGGTTAAAAGCGGAGGTCTAGCAGCAGTATGACCTTTGAGCATCAGCAGGGCAGCCCTCGGCCACGCTGCAGCTGCCCTCCGAGGATTAAAGTCCAAGTGCTGCCGCTGTGCTGTCTCTCATCAGGCCGGCTCCTCGGTGGCACTCACTCAGGCTTAGGGCTTGATTGAAGATGTTGCTTCTTCCAATCTGCTTCCTGTCCACACTAACACCACCTCGACTTTTTCTACTCAGAAACAAAGACAGAGGGGCTTAACCCTTCTGCAGCGTGAATACTGGAAGCTGTATCACAGATTACATGCTGCAACAGACACCTGGCTGAATCCCTACACAAGATTATAACCTGCATTTTCAAACTGGTGAAGGCTGCTGAGGTCAAGCAGGCCAAGATTTTAAGACAGAGCAAAACACATTTTCAAGAAGCGAGTCACAGCAAACGGTTGTTACACTGCTGCCTCAAGGTAGTTAGCTCAGCTGTGCAAGATAAATACAGAACGCTCATGTTATGTAGTAAATTACTACATTCAAGTGACACATTTGGAAGAGAGTGTTTCTGTTTTCCTTTCCACGAGATCATTCGCTTGGTACCCTGCTGTCCATTGCAGACGACTAATTAGACAGTAATAGCTAATAGCAGCAATTGCCCTAACGCTTACATTTGGCGTGTGGTTTCTAGCCAGGACCTATTTGCTCACCATGGCATAGCCAGATCATGAAACCATGAATTAGCAGATACTGCTTGTTAGGTGCTGTCCTACTAAGGGCAAACAGTGAGCGCGGCGGAGGACTGGCAAGGCACAGAGCCTGTCGCACGATAATTGATGTTATCAGACTCACTACATCCATTAGCTGCTTTGAGAGCATCTCGGTCAATGTCTGCAGAATTATTGTTGTGATGAAGACAGGGATGGCTCTAGACAAGAACATTTTGCCATCGATAGCCTTTCATCACGGCAGTGACAGCATTTTAAGCTAAAGTGATTTAAGTTAAGAAAGAAAAAGTGCTAAAATCTCCGTGGAAGATTTGATGCTCTTTCCAGACCTCCCAGGTGAGAGGCATCTGGATGGCCAGACAAGCATTCTGAACTGTGAGCTGCAGGCTGAGCAATCTAAATTCTTCAAAAACAAAACAAACCAAAAAGTAATGGAGGCATCTTCGAATCAGTAACTTGTAGGGAGACTTAAAAAGACTGAGTAGGGAGGATCTGACTGGCCAAAAATAAATAATAATGCTTAACAGCTTTGAGCACTTTTAAGCTTGAAAGTATATTGCATATTATGGCCCTGAGCCTGCAACAAACTTGGTGCAAGCAGGCCCTTAAAATTCAGATTTTAAAAAGATCTTTAAACCTCTAAAGAGCTGGCACTTTGCCTTGCGGAACATAGCCCTAGCTAATTAATCTTCATGACAACACCTCCATGAGGTATGAGATCCTATCCCGAATTTACATATAGATGCAGAATTAGAGAGAAATGCTTTTGCATGATGAACCCTGCAATCCCTGATTATATCATGGAGTTTCTTCCAAAGCCTTTTGGTAGATATGTGGAGGCCTTCTTGGTGCTCAGTGTAGCTTTTGGATTATGCCTCCCTCCAATACTCTGAACTGAAAATGCATCATAGGAAAATACTTGAACATTTGCAGCACCGAATGTGTTGGTGCATTGGTAAAGGCACTTAACTCCTAGCAGTACATTCTCTCTTTTAAGTTACTTTTTAGAAATGCTTTTAAATTCACTTTATAAGGCAAAAGGCAAATTTTGTTTTCTCTGAAATATCTCAAGCCATCTTTTTTTTTTTTCTTGGAGAGGGGGGAAGGCTACTCGTAGTTGGTCATTTTATGCTTCCAAGTCTAGCTTTCCCTTGGCAACCTTGCAGATGTGATTTTGACCACTTAATTGTTCTGGCATAATGGTACCTTAAGGCAGATCCACTGGCACTGACCCCAGCATGGTTTTGTAATTTCAGAATATTGGTGTTTTCCTCTTGTATCAGCAGGTATCCAGCAATATAATCACTTCCCTATTTATAGCTTTTGCAATGTCATGAGGTGCATAACTGGTTGAACAATACAGCAAATTGTCCAGGAAAACTGTAGTTTCTTTATA